ATGCTTAATTAATTAAGTAAATTTCTTAGAAAGTTATTCCTAACATCACTTGACAATGGAACAAAACTCTGGATTTTAAGTTTAATTAAATTTACAACTTTAGTTTCAGTTTTGAAACACAGAAATTTCTGTGTCATGATGGAATCATATTTTTAAAAAAGAAAATAATTATAATAATATGCTTTATTGTTTTTACCAAGCACTGTTTTTTTTTTAAATAAAAATAATTGCTAAGAACACCAGATTATAAATCTTACTGTTTTTTTATATTATATTAACATATATATACATAATATATATATATATATATATATATATATATATATATAATAAATAATACAAGAATAGATCTGCCTATCGTCCAGTTCACACTCCTTCCCTGTCTTTGAACAGGAGTAGAGATTTAACTGTTGCTTCCAGTTCATTCTAATGTCTGCTTCAGCTCTATACTACTAAAACTTGTTCTTTCCTATGCTAGTATAAGTCCACACAATAACCCTCTACCATGAGTGGCACTTGGGTCTTGTATTGGATGAAAATTAGTTACAAAATATTATAATATAATAATATATTAATAATATAATATAATATTATAATAATAAGATAATAATTTAATAATAATATAATGTAATACATATTAATATAATAATATATTATAATACTAAGATAATAATATTATAATAATAAGATAATAATTTAATAATAATATAATGTAATACATATTAATATAATAATATATTATAATACTAAGATAATAATTTAATAATAATATAATGTAATACATATTAATATAATAATATATTATAATACTAAGATAATAATATAATAATAATAATAAGATAATAATTTAATAATAATATAATGTAATACATATTAATATAATAATATATTATAATACTAAGATAATAATTTAATAATAATATAATGTAATACATATTAATATAATAATATATTATAATACTAAAGATAATAATATAATAATAATAATAATAAGATAATAATTTAATAATAATATAATATAATATATTAATATAATAATATATTATAATACTAAGATAATAATATAATAATAATAAGATAATAATTTAATAATAATATAATGTAATACATATTAATATAATAATATATTATAATACTAAGATAATAATTTAATAATATAATGTAATACATATTAATATAATAATATATTATAATACTAAGATAATAATATAATAATAATAAGATAATAATTTAATAATAATATAATGTAATACATATTAATATAATAATAATAAACTAATACTAAGATAATAATTTAATAATAATATAATGTAATACATATTAATAATAATAATATATTATAATACTAAGATAATAATAATATATAATAATAATAATAATAAGATAATAATTTAATAATAATATAATGTAATACATATTAATATAATATATATTATAATACTAAGATAATAATTTAATAATAATATAATGTAATACATATTAATATAATAATATATTATAATACTAAGATAATAATATAATAATAATAATAATAAGATAATAATTTAATAATAATATAATATAATACATATTAATATAATAATATATTATAATACTAAGATAATAATTTAATAATAATATAATGTAATACATATTAATATAATAATATATTATAATACTAAGATAATAATATAATAATAATAATAATAAGATAATAATTTAATAATAATATAATGTAATACATATTAATATAATAATATATTATAATACTAAGATAATAATTTAATAATAATATAATGTAATACATATTAATATAATAATATATTATAATACTAAGATAATAATATAATAATAATAATAATAATAATAATAATAATATAATTTAATAATATGATGATAATAATGATATAATGACATAATATAATAAATAATATAATAAATCCCTATTAAATACTCTGCTGTCAGACTGTTTTTTTTTTCCTTTTTACCAAAGATACAAAGCTTTTAACAGATGACTATTTTGACAAAACAGTAGAACCAAATGAATTATGAGTATTGGGAGACTATAGTAGGATCTAAGTAAACATTAACTGACCATCTCGTATAAGACTTAGGAGATGGTTTTTAAATCAATTGGTGGGGGATAAAGTAAATATTATATTACATAAATTACAGTATATATCTATGGTGGTTTGTTCATAACTATCTATTCCACCCTGTTAACATATCTCTTGTTCTCTTGAGCTAATCAGATCTATCTCATTCTGTTTCTACCTATCTTTCAATTTCAGCCAGTTTATATATATATATATATATATATATATATATATATTATGAAATGGACAAAGTCTGACAATTATTTTAAGACATTTTTATGTTTAACATTCTTTTTATAGATACAAATATTTAAGTAAATGCTCTGTTTATAATAAACAGTATTAAATAACATTTACCGGCCTGAATGTCTGAGAAATTTTCACAGAAAATATTCATCCTCCAACAGTAATCGAACCTGTATCCTATACATTCGACCTTGCTAACCGATCGATCCTCTGTGGTGAAATTGGTAAAAAGCATGTCAGGCTATATGACAGTTCTGTATAGGATACAGGTTCAAATCCTGTCAGAGGATGATGAATATTTTCTATGAAAATTTCTTGGACATTCAGGCTGGTAAATGTTATTTAATACTGTTTATTATAAACAGAGCATTTACTTAAATATTTGTATCTATTAAAAGAATGTTAAACATAAAAATGTCTTAAAATATATATATAAAGAGGGAGAGAGGGTGGGATGGATAAATTGTCCTCTAAATTACACAAAAATGAAAATAAAAATGATATCACATTTTAACAGATATATTTAGAGGATAATTTATCCATCACCCCCTATATATATATATATATATAGATATATATATATATATATCGGGCGTGATGGATAAATTGTCCACTAAATTACACAAAAACGAAAATAAAACTGACATCTCATTTTAACAGATATATTTACCAAAATGACACAAAAATATCTTCAAATACAAAAAAAAAGTAAATTTATTCAATAAAATTGACATTCGTTTCAACCACCACTTCCAGTCAACTTTGGAATCCCCTGCAACTCTTCCAGATAGTCTCCTTGTTTAAGTTGTTAAATGTTGGCATAATCCTTGCCTTCAGTTCGTCTTTGGTGTGAGAAGAAGTTTTGTTGGTCTCTCGCTCAACACATAATAATCAAGGTGGTTGCAGTCTGGGGAGTTAGGTGGCCAGATTTAAGGTGTGATGTGATCAAAGAAATTGTCTGACAGCCATGACTGGGTCTTCCTACTTCTGTGGCATGGTGGTCTGTATTTATAACACCCGAGGAATAGATATATTTATATACATGCAATTATTTGTGCATTTATATACATTTTTTATCCTACACATTGCTCTCTCTCTCTCTCTCTCTATATATATATATATATATATATATATATATATTCATCCACATACAAGCCTATTTTGGTGTATCACAGTTAATCAGTGTGACTAGACATCTGATTGCACAAAAGAGAAAGGGAAATTTTAACATGTTATATATGGATGTATACAAATGCCAGCAGCCAGTGGGCTCAATTCATTAATGAAGTGTTGTGTGTTAATAGCAGCAGCAGCTACACATTTGAAATTGCTCTTTTCTCTACAGTGCTAGATCAACTACAGGGTGCTGTGGATAAACTGTCATCTAAATGAAGCAAAAATAAAAATAACACGGACATCTCATTTTAATAGATATATTTACCAAAATTATGCAAAAATTTCTTCAAATACTGTAGTGAAAGAGATAATCAGTTAACCCAAAAAAAAGTTTGTGTTTTGTGTGCGATCTGCTGAAGAAAAATTACCAAAAAGTAGTTAGCAGAAATCTACCTCAATGACTAGAAGCTATGCTAATGTTCTTCCCTCTCCTGAATGGAGTGACCAATCAGAAAATTCTCTCGATGAACAGAAGTTGTTGTTTTTCGCTTATAAAAGGAGATGATTTTTTTTGAGCTTGGTGGAACGAACACACATTGTTGTTGGATGTGTGACCCCATTTTGTCGTCTCTATGGCGTGTGTTGGACTGTTACATCGGACTATCGTGTGAACTGCGATTTGGCTACAAGTGTTGCAGCCGAGAAACAGAAGAAATCTATTGCAATTGCTACTATCAGTTGACAGTCTTTTTCTTTACTACAACAAGAGTAAACTTATTCAATAAAACCACGATTGGCTTCAACCATGGCCTCCAGTCAACTTTGGAATCTCCTGCAACTCTTCTGGACAGTCTCCTTGTTTAAGTTGATGAATGCTGCCATAATCCTTGCCTTCAGTTCTTCTTTGGTTTTACAAAGAATTTTCTTGGTCTTTCACTAAACTGCACTACACAAATAATAATCAAGATTGTAGAAATTGTCTGACAGCCATGACTGGGTTCTCCTGCTTGTGTGGCATGGTGCAAAGTCCTGTTGCTAGACATAGGGTCCTCCAGCAGCCACCCTCTTGATCTAGGGCAGCACTACTTCCTTAAGGGACTTGATATAGGCCTCCCTATTGAGTGTGAGGCCCTCACCAACAAGTTTGCACTGGAAGCTCCAATACAAACAATTTAGATATTTTGGGTATCAATCTAAGGATTCAGAAAGAGTTGGATGAGTCTAATGGTGATTATGAATGTTTGGTCACCCAGAAAACTCACTCTGATCATCTACCAGCTTGAAATACCGAGAATTCTAATTTAAGAAAAATGTACCTTCCAACAGGATTTAAATGTGCATCACTCTTTGCAGGAGAAACCGTTTTAGAACTGACGTGCTTTTAATCGACGCAGCTACAAAGATCATCCTTCTCGTTCAGATTCAAAAAGTTCATATCTGCTCAGTTTTGTATCTGAATGTAAAGAAAGCAATTTCTAAAGAAGTAATGGATTTTTATTTATTAATCTGAAAGATTTTTATCACTTTAGACATCATTTTTAGTGGATACCCATATTTGAGTAGATGCTCCATTTATCTATCTATCTATCTATTTCACTCTGTTTATCTATTTATTTCTGTCTGTTCATATCTGACTATTCATATATATCTCACTCTGTTCCTTCTATCTATCTCAGTCAGTTCATGTCTGTTTATATCTATCTATTTATTTATCTGTTCATGTCTGATTGTTCTATCTATCTCAGTTCATGTCAGTTTATATATCTCTATCTGTTTCATTCTGTTCATACCAATCTATGTATCAGTCTATTTCTGGCTGTTCATCTATCTCAGATTGTTCAGATCTATCTGCTATTTCAGTCTTTTTCCTATTTATCTATCTCAGTCTGGTCACATCTGTTTATATCTATCTATCTATCTATCTATCTATCTATCTATCTATCTATCTATCTATTTCAGTCTGTTTATATCTATCTATCTATCTATCTATTTAAGTCTGTTTATATCTATCTATTTCAGTCTGTTTATATCTATCTATCTCAGTCTGTTTATATCTATCTATCTATCTCAATCTGTTTATATCTATCTATCTATCTATCTATCTATCTATCTATCTATCTCAGTCTGTTTATATCTGTCTATCTATCTATCAATCTCAGTCTGCTTATATCTATCTATCAATCTCAGTCTGTTTATATCTATCTATCTATCTATCTAAGTTTGTTTATATCTATCTATCTATTGTATTTTCTATCTTATAATGACTATGATATTATATTCCTTTCTCATGAACACTCATCTCAGATTTTTCTTTCACTGTTATGAATGCTACCAAAAACCTTTACTTTCTCTTTCAAGCTATTTCACCTCTAAATAACTTGAGCATATATTGCAGCTGCGTGTCACATCAGAATGCTGCAAGACCCAAGACAACCTCCCCATTTAAATGATCAATTATTAATCAATTCGTCAATTATCCTTCACCTTGAAATAGATACTTGTCTGCCTCGAGCCAAAACAATCAGTTCCCAAGGTTAGTGTTTCATTTCCCTTTTATTATTGATGAGTGTTTGTCTCTCAATATTCAAATAGCCTGAAGTGGGAGTTGGCTCCCATGTTACAAGACTTGTAAAATTGATATGACCCCCTTTGCCTCTTGGGGACAACACAACTTGTCTGCATTGTGATTCTTATATTGAGTAAACAGGTCTCTTCTGCTGACAGAAAGACTTTTTTTCTTTTTATTGATAACATCCTGTCTTTATCGAAGATTCTATCAATATCTGCTGTCCTTTGGAAAATCGGTCACGGAACACACCTTCCCATAAACTCACACACAGTCTCCATCAGTCTTCATCTTGTCTGGCATCTACACCTACATGCGCATACTTTTTATGTGTTGAGTGGTGAAGATAATAAGACAATGTAAAATCTATAAATTACGTGTTTCGATGAAAGCATCTGCTCTCTCTGGCTTCTTCAGTTTAGAATGAAAACAACTCAAAACTTTATGCAAGGAAACATGCATTGGGTGGAACATTTAAGGATAAGTGAGGTACATAAATCAAATTGTCTCATTGTATCCATGGTCAAAGTCAAGACAGTGTCTGTCTGATTGTTTGTTTCATACATATATATATGTGTGTGTGTGTATATGTGTGTATATATATATGTGTGTGTGTGTGTATATATATGTGTGTGTGCGTGTGTGTGTGTGTATATATATATATATATATATATATATGTAGGAGTAGAGGTCCTGGTAGAGAACTGGCCCCCTGATTAATTTTTAAATTTCGGATTTATATAGGGTTGCATATATCGATGTTTTTATGGAAGTGGGAGGAAAAATTGTCATCTGGACACCACTCATACTTACGCAAACATACGTACACACCCATACACTCATTGATGTATGTAGACACACACACAAATGCTCACACAAACATAAACATATGTGAACAGCATGGGATTTGGCATATATACGTATATATGTGTTGTTGTGTACACACATATGCATTTGTTTGCTGTATTCAATATTGGATTGTGTAGCGAATATTTTTTTGATTGTTGCACTGTCAACATGCAGACCGTTTCTCTATTTTTGTTTGCTGAATAATGTTTTCTTGCATGTACATATATATGTATGATGGGGTCTATGTAAGACTATGATAGGTAAAAATTTCTATTATTTAAAATTTTTTAAGGCTGTTTTGTTATTATTTTAAGGCTAGTTATTTGCTTGTTTTTGGTGATTGTGCATATGTAAATGGTAGAAATTTCAATTTGTAATACTTATTAGTATTTATATGGTGGTATTAATTTTGCTGAGGGAGAGATAAGTAATTATAATTGTGGGCTGATATGTTAATGGTAATTGCGGACTAATACAGCAATAGTAATTGTGATGTGGTGGTAATGGTGATGGGGGAGCGGGTGATTATAATAATTGTAGTAGCAAATAGTTATTGTAAAGTGGTAGAAGTGATTAGTAATGGTGGTGGAATGGTAATAACAATAATTGTAATTATTATGATGGTAGTTTGAACTACAAAATAATTGATGGTATTATGGTGTCAGTGGTTTCTCTTTTCATGTTTATAGGGTCAATGGTGGTTTATTTCAGCTGACAAAAATATAAAATACTAAACAAACTCAGGCTATACCAGGGTAAAATAAAACTGACAAGTTTTTATTGGTCTTTTGAACAGGAGTAGAGGTCCTTGTAGAGTACTGACCCCTAGTTTAAAATTTGGTTTTATATATATATATATGTATATATATATATCTTGATTGGTCATTGTAGCTTAGGTAACAGCATTTCCCCCTATCAAGGGGTGTTGGGTTGATTTGAATCTTTATTTTATTCTACATTCAACATGATCACTTGATAAGACACTAGAAGTGTTGAAACAAAATGACTATTTTTGTAGTGATTTTATAACATCTTTATTTTTTATTTAAACGTTATTTTTAGTGGAAACTCATATTTGAGTAGGTGCTTCATTTATTTATTAGACAGAAGATTCTTTTTTTTTTTTTTTTTACCAGTTTGTGGACACAGGTTCAAATCCTGCCAAAGAGTGCAGATTTTTTCTTTAATAAAATTTCTTGAACATTTTGGCCAGTAGGCAAAAATGAATAAATATCCTGTTTAATAAATATATAGAGCATCTACTCAAATGTAAGTATCTATTAAAAATAATGTTTAAAGTGATAAAAATGATATGTATGTAAAATTTCAGTTAAAGTTACCTGTGCAAAACTGAAAAACATATTGACCAGACTGTTGTGATAAAAACAACAAAGATTAGGATACCAGTCTAATATGATCATCTTACTTATTATAAAACGCAGATTTTGTGTGTGTGTGTGTGTCTGTAACGTTTATATATTGGATCGAATTTCCTACATTTTTCAACCGATTTCAACAAAACTTCACAGGACTACATAAAATTACCTTGTGGTGGTTCTAACAGCGCCAAAAATGGGAAAAATATAATTGTTTTTGCACAAAATCAATTTGAAAACACGATTAAGAGACATCGTGAAAATGGAAGGGGGACAACTCACATAGAGTTGTTTGTGTGTGTGGGTTCCTTTAAATATGGGAGCGAATTTCCTATATTTTTCAGCCGATAAAACAAAACTTCACTTTTTTTTTTTTTTGGCAGGTAGTGTTTTTTATTCTCTTGCACACTTTTTTCTTTATTTTTAACATTCAGAATGCTTTAAAAATTCCATACAAGACAATTATTTATAATAAAATTTTTCAATCGATAGACTCATAATGATTGAAAACAATGTTTTTGTTTGAGTTTGACCAATTTGTAAAAAAAAAAAAAAAACTAATTAAGACATGCGTGTCCGTCAACCTAAAACAACAATAATCTTTGTCAATTTTATTTTTCAGTCTTTATGATGGTGGATACTTGATCTATCTCTTACTGTTATGTCCCCGGGCAACGCCAGGCTCTACTGCTAGTTATTATTATTTCCCTCTGAATTTCAGTTCTTATTCCGAACATAGAATTCAGTTTCAATTTTTAATTTCTCTATTTTGTTTTCATTATATAGATGTCATGTGTTAACTGCATTGTATATCTCTGAGTGTGTTTAATTCCTGAAATGTTAAAATCATTTATAAATTGGGTTTCTCTGTATATTGTATAATAAATATGAGAGTTTCTTCAAAAATTAAGGTGGAATTCTGGAATTCTTTGTTATATTATCGGCCAATATTTGGATCTTGCATTCTTTTTCTTTTTATTCTATGACAACTTGTGTCTGGGTGGGGGGGAGCTATTTTTCATGTTTATTTGTTAAGATTCCTTTCAGGTATTTTCACCATAATTACTAGTGTTCATTCTCATCTTTTTTTGTTTTAATTGAAATAAAATTAATGATTGTTTTTATGAATTCAGATATTTATATTGATATAGAGATATTTATAAGAATTTCCTTTTCATTTTATATACAGATTAATATCCTCATCTTTGTTGTTATTATCACAATGTTTTGGCTTTCTGGTATGAGGATTTATCATTAGTTACATTATTTACAATCAGATTAATATCCTAATCTTGAATGTTATTATCACAGCGTTTTGGCTTTCTGGGATGAAGAATTATCATTATTTCCATTATTTACAGTCAGACTAATATCCTCATCTTTGTTGTTGTTTTCACAGCGTTTCAACTTTCTGGGATGAGCAATTATCATTATTTCTGTTATTTACAGTCAGGCTTATATCCTCATCTTTGTTGTTGTTATCATAACATTTTGGTTTTCTGGGACAAGGAATTATTATTTACAGTCAGTCTAAAATCCTTGTCTTTGATGTCATTATCACAATGCTTTGGCATTCTGGGATGAGGAATCATCATTATTTACATTATTTACGATCAGACTAATATCCTCATCTTTGTTGTTATTATCACAATGCTTTGTTTTTCTGGGATGCGGAATAATCATTATTTAAATTATTTACAGTCAGATTAATATCCTCATCTTTGTTGTTATTATCACAATGTTTTGGCTTTTCTGGGATGAGGAATTATCATTATTTTTATTATTTACAGTTAGACTAATATCCTCATTTTTGTTGCTGTTATCACAATATTTTAGCTGTTGTGTCCTCTGGCCATCATCAGCCGTCTGTGTGTGTAACCTTCAGGGTATTTATTTGTCCACATTACATTTTCTTGTTTTCATTTCATGCTGCTCAGTTATTGGTATGAGTCTAAATTTGAACCACCTGCACCAGAGCTTAAACTCACAATTACTCTTTCACTAAATTCATAAGCTAACACTTTAATTTAATTGTCTTATCTTGTGGGACAGTCCTAAGTCTAGAACTTGTGCCTTAAAGCTGCCTGTTGCTGATGTGCATTCACTATCATGTTAGGCTTACTGAAGTCACCTTTAAAGACTGATTGATTCCTCATGTCAGACTCATTAAACATAAAAAATGAACAGGAGAAGAATTGAAACACTCAATGGATATTAACAAGCCACCACAAAATCTCTCATGCAATTTCCATGGAGATTAAGTTAGTTGAAGTTTTCTCATTGAATATAAATCACGTCTTGTATCACCTGTCAACACCTACAGTTTTCATGTGATGCTGATGTTTATCTGAAATTCCTTTATTCAAAATTCTAGACATAAACATTGTCAAGATGCTAACAAAATAGCGAATTTCAACTTCAAAACTCATTCTAAAATGAAAATAACTTCACATTTGAAAAAATAACCAGAAGCTACAGAGCTTACCCCAAGGGACTTTCCTTTTCAAGGATAAAAAATCTCAGATCTGGGAAGA